GGGGGTGGAGTCCACAAAGCCTATATGAAATTAGCTTTGGGACATCCTTTTCCCCCTAACATTACAAGACCTTTTCTGAATGCATGGCCAATAATAATAAGACTTATTATACTGCTGTTCTTATCAGGACATCCCCTGCATGTCAGCTATAGGCCTCTACCTTGCTGACCACCTGTGGTGCCAACAAAAAGGTGGGTGACACAGTGTGCTGGGCAACTACTGCCCCAGTACATGTCACCGATGGAGGAGGTCCTCAAGACAAAGCCAGAGATCACTTTGTCAGTACAGTCTAAAAACAGCTTGCACCACGCCTTCCCCCTGCGCTTAGCTATCATCCACTTGCCCTTCCTGCTGAAAGACAAAAGTTGGGCATTGACTACAATACTTTTAATATCCTCCACTCCTCTTTCAATCTACTTAATTTAACAAATTCCTCACTGGCCAATAATTGTTGGTAATGCTTACAAATGGGTTTCCCTGTGCCTTTGGCCTTTCCAACAACCAATTCCTCACTTGCACCATACCGTAATTGCTCCTTCACGGTTCCCATTTTGGTTCAGCCTATCCAGTTTTTTGACACGCCGGGCGCAGTGGCACGCGCCTGTAATCCCAGGCTACATGGGAGGCTGAAGCAGGAGGATCGCTTGATCGGCAGTTCTGGGCCACAGTATGCTGCACCCTCGTGTGTCCGTACGTTCACCTCCTCAGACGTGGTGACCCCTCCGGGGTCGGGGGTACCACACCAGGCAGCCTGCGTAAAGCGGCCGGCCCAGGTCGGTACTGTTGGGAGCACAGAGAAAGGCTCCTCTGGCATTCTGGAAATAAATCACATCCATTGCCGGCTAACAGGACCGGTCAATGCGTGTTGGGTTTCCTTCTACCCAACATAAACGTGGTTCCAGGAAGTGAGCCCATGCCCATTCCAACGGTTGACCAATTTTTTCAGTAGTAGTAAGAGAACAGTACACCTGATTCCCTTATTTGCAGGCCTGGGTATAACTGCCGCCATGGCCTCAGGGACAGCTGGATTAGGCATATCTCTCTCACAATATACTAAACTGTCTCAACAACTTATTAATGATGTTCATGCTCTTTCTAGTACTATTCAGGATCTTCAGGATCAGGTTGACTCCTTAGCTGAGGCAGTCCTTCAAAATCCACAGGGCCTTGATTTGCTAACTGCGGAAAAGGGGGGTATTTGCTTGGTCCTGCAGGAGAAATGCTGTTTCTACGCCAACAAATCAGGAATTGTCCGCAATAAAATCCGACAGTTACAAGATGACCTGGAAAGAAGACGCCAGGAGCTAGCTGAAAATCCACTCTGGACTGGTCTCAATGGACTCTTATCTTACCTTCTTCCCCTCATGGGTCCCCTATTAACCCTTTTGATATTGGTTGTCGTGGGTCCTTACATTTTTAACAGAATAATCTCCTTTGTAAGACAACAGATTCAGGCCCTTCAGGCAAAACCCATTCAGGTACATTACCATAAGTTGGAGATGCGAGATAAGGGAGGCTCTTACTCAGACTTATGCTCAGTCTGAAGAAATAAAACTCCCTTCCCCTGTGCGATGGACTGGTCAGCCAATGACGGGTAAGATCGGGGGCAGACTCAAAATGGCTTGAGGTGCTAAATTGCCACACGTCTGTGACTCCTGACGACCTAAGACAGGCGCAGTCCCCGAGGGGTTTTTGTCTTTTTGCTCTCTCATTAGAAATAATAGAAAAGGAGGATCTGTCGGGGCCCAGACCTGAACATCCGGGTTCTTGCCTAAAGCAGGTACTGAATGTTAGCTCAAGTGAAGGTTTCAAGTTTCCTATTGTGACGACTGAACCTTTCCCCCTGCTTGCTACTGTGGCTTGTTTGCATTGGTGGTCTCTCCTTGCTAGAGATAACGAGAGACCTCCTCCTCTGAACCCTATATAACATTGTACACATTCCTGAATAAATGAGACTGGCGATGATCCTGGCTTTGTCTCCACTCCTCGCGTACCCCTGTTCCATACCAAGCCCCTGCTTCCTCCCCCGGGTACCCCGTTGATCTGCCCGGCTGGCCCGGACACTTATCAACTGAGATAATAAGCACAAATGTGGTTTATGGCAAGTGGAGAGGAGTTCAAGAAAAAATAAGGGGGCAAAGACAAGGTTGGACCCCAATTTGCTGTGGGGCTCTAAAGCTAAATGCAGTTCAATACTGGATGCAGTGTGGTGAACAGAACTCCTGGAATGTGCTCTCAGGTGCTTTAGAGTCTGATGGAGCAGGGGCTGGGATAGAGGCGGGACAGCAGCTGACTCAGGCCCTGCTCCTGGCCCAGGCCTTGGATTGTCCTCTCCCATTTCCTGCTCTCAGCTAGAGTCCTCCGAGGCTCTTTGTGTGCACGGTGGGACATGTTAGACGTGACTGCAGATGACCAAGGCACTGAGGACTTAGCCGAACCGAGTTGCAACTAACTCAATGTTGTTTCTGTGTGGTGGTGGGTGTTTAGTACCTAACAGTCTCCAGGTACATTCATGTGGGTCTCTGGATGCTTAATTTTGAGATTCTGTCAGAGGGAGCAGAACTTCAGGGCTTCCCTGGTGGCACAGGGGTTGTCTCAGCACAATGAAGCTATTGACAGCCCCTGCAGTGTGAGTTTGATGCTCGGCCAGGGAGCTACACACATGGTGCACCAGACCTCTCCTTCTTTGCCCACTGCTCCCCTCGCAGTATATTTCAGTCTGCCTGGTTTGCTCCCCACGCTGTCTCTATGGGGGTGTGTATTTCATCCCCATACCTCACCTGTACCACAGCTCTTGTATGCATAAATCTTAAGAAAAAATACAACACTCAAGGGCATTTCAGTCCTCTGGAAGGAACTCCCAGGGGCATCGGGGATTGTCCTGAGTCAGATCTCACTGCCTAGGAGGCACAATGGTGTGAGGAACAGACATTGGGCGCTTGGCAGGACCCAGGGACTGAGAACGACATTTCCCCAGGAAGCATGTCCAGCTTGACAGAGTTTAAATGCTCTGGTCTCTTTGGTATCCAGGGGCTTTGCCTATTGTGTTCTCCAAACCAGCCATTGTTCTGTTCACTATTCTGATGACTCCAGCTTTTTCTGTGCATACCTCACCCACAGTTTTGAAATCTCTGACCTCCCTGAGTATGGCTAATGCCCTGTAGTACCTGTGCTTGGCTGCAGGTTTGTCTCCACACGACCCCACTGCCTCTTCCTGATGACACCTAGAAGTTCCATCCTCTGGGGTGGTGCATTTCTGTTTCTGCCTGGACTCCCAGGTAGAAGGCACAGCCCAGCTGCCTCACAAGGAAGAAGTGGAAGGAGGTGGGTTGTGCACTGGAGTCTACACAGGAGCCTCCCAGGCTTGAGTGTCTTGTCCTGAACCTGTAACAAGGGATAGGTCCAGGGCATTCCTCTGGCACTCACATGGCTCGGGAGGGTTGGGACATCCGTCATGCCTGGGGTCCTATACCAGAAGGACCACCACTGAAGGTGCAGGGTGAGGCTCCCTGACTGGCTGGGGCGGGTCTTCTATGCACTCACTAGTTAGTTGCTTGTACCTCCAACAGCACTGCTGGCTCACAAGTGAATGACTGAGGTATGACTGATGGGTGACCCATCTTACCAGGCATAAATAGTAGATGACTGTGTGTGTCTAAGGGCAAGAACATCAAATGACCGACAATCCCGGGTCAAAAGCATCCATTACCCCAGCATTCAACACTGTACCGATGGACAGTCAATGCAGAGAAAAACAGCTAATGAATGAGTAGTCCCAGACAAAACACCCTGACAGAACAGGGAATAGGGTCCACGCCCAGGGCCATTTAAGGGAAAAACTGTCCTGAAGGAACCTCTCTACACAAAACTAGCCGATGACCAATCTGCCCTGGTATAACTAGTCGAGGACTGCTCTGTCCGGAAAGTGGGCACAGGGACAAACAGGGAATGCCAGACACAGGCAGGGACCCAGGGGAAAGGGCTCATGGCAGAGGCAGCCTGGGGCATAAGTCTAAATAAAGAATGTATTCCTGGGCAAACAGTGATGGCTCATCAGTCCCGAGAACACAGCCAGTGACAGAAATAGTCAACCACCTAATCAGAACAAGGCCCTGTCGTCAAAGCCATGTGTCCTTTTCCAGTGGTTTTCACTGAGCATCCTTGTGTTGGCAAGTTACCCGTCCAAAAGCATCCATGCAGCCCTCATTATGCTTCTCTTTGTGTTACCTGGGAGAACCAAGTGTGGTAACTGTGCCCTTCTGAGTGGATGCCCCCTTATATTCCTCCTCTTCAAGAGCAGGACCTCTTTGGTCTTGTACTGACCCCCACACACCCCCACACACACTGCCACAAGACTGGCTGTTATTGTTTGTTCTGTGCCGCCACCTCCCTTAGCACCTGGCCCCACACTCTGGATATTCAGGGAATATTGTGCAGCCTCTGAGAGCTTTTTTAAGATACTTCTTTACATATGAGCATCCAGCTCTAGTTTTTTCTGTTCTCAATTCTTCATCCTTTCATTCACAACCCTCCCCTGTTGCACTGCATCTGATGTGAACATTCAGTCTCTCACATTGTGTCAGGTAGTAAATTGTGTTTGCCGTTGTGTTTTGTTTATTCCAGGGACTGAATCATCAATGCTCTCATAAAGATCCCTTATCTATCACTCTTCTATTTTGTGTTATTTCATGATGAAGGCACAAATGACATAGTTGAGACCTATCAAAAAGTAAGAAAAATTACAAGGTATTTCTGGGGAAGTCATAGTCTGTCAAATGACTTTGAAGTAGTGTGTCTCATTTTTATCATAAATAGATGTGTATGTGCTTATATGTGCACAATTTGTGTTGGGAACTGCTTAAATATGAAATTTACAGTCTGTTGGCTCTGAAGCTTAGGCATTGAATTTCTAGGCTCAGAGGCTCTGCTTCTTCATGTTCAAAAAATATATATATATATATTTAAATAAAGACTTATTTATTTTCATATAAGAACCGGGGTACAGGCCAGATGCGCAAGAGGGTGAGAGGATTCACCAGAGACAGAACAGGGAACAGAACAGGCAGACTGATGAAATGCACTACTAAGGGGAGCACTGGTGAGAAAGGAGAGGTCTGCCTTGCACTGGGATTCTCGCCAGCTGGGTGAGATTAAACTTGCACTGCAGATCCTGTGGATGGCTTCACAGTGCGGCATTCAACCTTCTGCGCCATCAGGGAGGACCCTGACTAAATTACTAAAAAATGAGGATGATATTATTAGTTTCTTTTTGAAGTCCATTAATAAAGTGGCTCCAGAATCAACACATTTATCTGCACAATACACTTGTGCAGCTGTCCCCCCGGGCAGCCTCACCTCTCCTCCTCATGTTTCCTTCTCCATGTGCCTTCCTCCTCAGGTACTGCTGCAGGACATCTGGTCATAGGTCCTGGTAGATGATCTGCAGGGGACAGCGGGGCAGGTCTCAGATGCCAGCTCCACCCAGCTGGGGGAACCAAGCCAGGCCATCCAAGGCTTTTGCCAGGGAGGGCCAACCTGGCAAACCTGCTGGAGCCTGCAAAGCTGTGGTTAGAGAACCTACTGAAGACATTAAGACATCCTGTTGTTGTGACTGTAGCGGTAGGCCTCATGTGTTAGGGCTGGTGCCACTGAATGTGAGTGGAGAGGGATAGCCTATATCCTGCTGGAAGAGGACGATGTGAAAAGGTACCGGCCTGATGGTTCCAGTGATTCAAGGTCAGCCCACCTGGCCTGCTGCTGCCCTCCTGAGAAGATGGGCCTTAGGGTGATGTGCACGAGATACACCTTGATAACAACATCATTCTGGAAGTAGGGGTTGTACCGAAAGAGCAAGGAGATCTTGCAGCGATCTCTGCATTCTTGCACCTTCCAGGACAAAGTGGAGTGGTGGCTGAAGACCTCCATCCAGGAGAACTACCCTTTCTTCACCCTTACCAGAAATCAGTCCTTTCCTGAAACTTCCCTGGTCGCACAGACTCCTTCTCTCTGCACTCACCATCAGGCTATCATGTAGCCCAGCATGTCTTCATCTTCGTTGCTCAACCAGGCTGAGTTCTGGGGGAGGATCACAAACTGGCTAAGGTCATGGACACTGCTGCCTCTGAGTAGGAAGAGTTTGGGGCAAGAGGGAAAAGCTGGGGCAGACAGAGACTGGCCTGAGAGAACTCCAAAAACTCCTGGCCTGCGGGAACTTTCTACACAAACGGGGAGGTCACCAGAGCCTCTCTGTTGCAGCACTGGCTGCAGGCAGTCCCATCCCAAATGCCTGGGTGGTGTGTGTCCCTGCAGCAATACAGGCAGGCCCTGCTCCCTGAGAGACCCTCATCCCCACTCTCATTGGCTCCCCAGATGCTGAGAACCAGACACAAGCAGTTGCTGGGTGCATAGCCGCCTCCAAGCCTAGGGCTCTGCCTGTGGCTTCACCCCCAAGGACACCTTGTCACAGAATATGGGCTTTGTTTGGAAAGCCCTCCATCAGCTTGCTCACCTGGTTGGAACCACTGACTGTGAAGTCCCCAAACCAATTCCCTCCTGCCCCCGCTGCCCCCACCCAAGGCTAAGCATCCCGTGTAATCACCAGGGATAAGATCCAGGTGGTCCCCCAAAGTTCCGGGCCAGTGAGCTATGAGTGTGCTCATGCCCAGGGACTTTGGTCCAAGAGGCCTACTGTGTGGCCTGAGTGGTGTCCACACCTTCCCTTTCACCTAGACAGCACCCCCTGTCAAGCCCTGCTCAGGGGAGCTCTTTCCACAGCACAGCCACATAGTGGAGCCACCAGGGGAAGCAGCTCATGGATATGACTTTGACCCAGAAGCCACAGATGCCCAAATAATGGTGCCTCAGCAATCCAGATGGGGCTGGTGATGCTGGCCCATCCTGACCTTCAGCCTGCAATAGACCCAGCAGATTTGCTAGTTCACTGGTTCCAACTCTAATGGCAGGGCCTGCAGCACCTCCAGGATGATTGGGGGGTTGTCTGCCTGTGCAGGCCGTGGATGCTCCAACTCCCCAGCCATAGCCAAGTGTCTGCCCTTGCCCAGGTATCTGCCCTCTGTGATGCTTCCCAGAGTACAGTCTTCCTCAGCCATCACCTCCAGGGCATCCCCAGTCAGTACTAAAACTTCGAAGCAACTTGCCTATGCACTCTGTGGCCTAGCCTGAGCTGCCTGTCCACCTGCCTACCTGAAGATGGCAACCTTCTCCTGTCTGCCTCACCCAGGGAACCTCTCACCCAAGGGGCCTCCAAAGCAACACCTGAGGGGTGCTCTGCCCCATAATTTCTGGCTCCAGCCTCCTCAGCGCCACATAGGAATCCATCCACTCAGCCTGGTCCTTGCCTCCATGCTGTTTTTGGCAATGTGCTTGGGCATCCCCAGCAGCAGCAGTAAGCACAACAAGAGGGTGTGGGAGGCGCCATCTCACGGGCTGGGGGTTCCAGAGCAGGGCCAGCAGGAAGCAGTCATTGCCTTCAGGCAAGTCTACCCCTGCAAGGCTGACCTCTGCAATGAGCAGAGGTGTGCACACTCGCAACTTGGCCCTGACACCTATCAGGACACTTGCCAGGAACACCCTTGCATCTCACAAACAGGGAGTGGCAGGTGGGCGGCACCATCGACTCACCTGTACTCACTTGCCGCAGACCAGCTTTCAGCAAAATATCATGTCAGGAGTCCCTGAAAGGAGGAGATGGCCTAGGCGAAGCAAAAGGGGCTGAGGGGAAGGGGATGAGGTAGTGAGGAGACACTGACACTCGATGAGGTGCAAGTATCTTCTGTCAAGAAACTCAGCAGGTCTTTATTAAGCAAGCAGAGTAATTGCATCGTTATGTGCAAAGCAGAAACAATTAGTGTATTTTATTCCCATGGACTACTGGCTCCTACGGGTGTCAGCTAGGCAGTAGCCTTCAAGGTTAATAGATAAAAAACTAAGCCTTACACTAAAACTCATTATTTCAGCTAGACAATTACCTAAGACGGTTGAGAGCTGCCAGAGCCAGATGCCATGGCCCATGCGTGCGTGGGTGGGATGGTGGTTGCCAGGGGATTTCAAGTCCCTGTCTTCTCTCCCTGGGAACTGGAAACTATTACATCCAAGAGCGACCTTGGCAATCATTTAATCCAATCTTCAGCCCCATGGTGTGAAGCTCTTTGGAAAACTTCGGCCCCACAGTGTGAGGCCCTTTTCTTAACTGCTTGCCAGCATCTTATCTGACAGGGGCAGCAAGACCCCCTGCAATGGGGCACATGCAATTGTGCTGTAAAGAACGCACCAGAACCAAATTATTTGCTCTTCATTTGTGGAGACGGTGGATTGAGCAATCCACTATATGACTATATGCAATTTGACTATATATATTGACTATATGCAATTTGCCACAGGGTTGTCCAAAATCCAAAAGTCTCAATATTTCATAAGCTAGATGTGTTTTTGAGGGTCAGGAGATATGCTAACCTTGGGTAACAGCTCCCTGGGCTTTGTGATATGGTTCTTAATAACATTCTGTTGGTTTTTCTTAATATTTATGCATATAAGAACTGGGGTGTAGGACACCGGTTCAGGGGGTAAGAGGATTCAGCAGAGACAGAGCAGGGAACAGAACATGCGGATCTGCTGAAATATACTGCTGAGGGGAACAGGAGGGAGACAGGAGAGGTCTGCTGCGCCATATGGGTCAGCTCCCTGGCCAGGGATCAATCTCATGCTGAAGTGGCTGCCGATAGCTTGCTAGCACTTAGACTTTAACCCCTGCCACAACAGGTAAACTCCACATTATATATTTCAAAAGCCTGTGATGATACAGGCCAAGAGAGGTGTTTTGTTTGTTTGTTTGTTTGTGTGTTTGTTTGGTTAACTGCATTGCCTTAGTGAGTAGCTAGCATTTGTACACATGGGGGTCCCAACAATGGAGTGGAGCCTTCTGGTGCACCCTCCCACCATAGCTATTTCTAGTTTTGTGCATTATCATTCATTTTCCTCTTAAGTCAGGGCCCTTTCTTTCTCTAGCATTGTTCACATGGCAAATTGATCCTGAGGTAGGTCGTGTGCTTTGTAAAGGTCTCTGCTTGTGCAGGCCTCTGTCTGCCCATGTGTGTTCTTACTCTTGCCAGCCAGGAGCCTTGGGTGCTGAGTGCTGAGTCTGGAGGCCATGGGCACGAAGCAGTGCAGGAGTGGGGATTCTCTGGATGGGCTGGTCCTCCCCCTGATGTACTCTCCTGCTCTAGCCAAAAAGGTAAAGCTGCAGGGAAGAGAGAACCCAGGGTTTTGGAGAAGGGTGGTTGCGATCATAGGGAAAAAGCTGGGTTCAGACCAAGAACATCAACCCCTTGTGTGGGTTCTTGGGCTGCTCTCGTGGACCCCTGTCCTTGCTGACTTTGTGGGGAGCTGGCTTCCTTGGAGGTGTTTCTGCTATGTGAGTGGAGGTCAGGAATCATTTCCACTGAAGACCCTGGAGCACCCCGATTTCCAAAAACCCCAACTCACCCTCCCTCCCTGTTTGCACTTGTTGCCTGGAAACCTGGTCTTACATTGGAGGCAAGACCTTGGCAACTGCACACTCTAGAAGCTGCTACTCTGAACACTTCTCCACAGGCAACTATACACATCTGGGTCAGAATTTGTCATGACACCATCGTGTTGCCTTCGGTGCGCCTGATGGCTGCCTTCCCCAGGCAGGCCAGTGCCAACACTTGACCACGCTGTCCCTACATCAACATAAAAGAGCTGGAAGCATTTGACTACACCTGTGAACACAGTTGCAAGAGGAAAGGGCCCCATAACCAGTTAATATTTTATATGGTCATCCCGTTATGGGAAATTAAGTGTCTTCAAATTGCTCTTCGGGGGCAAGTCACCGTAATTGAACCTGTGGGCTGCATCTTGTGTAGCTGTTGGAAGTGCCATGATGAGTGGGCTGTCTGCCTCTTTCTGAGCCCTGTCACAGCCTTTCCACCCCAGCACTGACTGGCCAGTGCAGGTGTCCCTCGCTCCCATGCTGGACTTATTGCTGGGTGTGGAGAACTATGTGTGCAGTGGGCAGGTCTTCAGGGCCCATCATGTTTCAGGGTTAGGGGCAGTCCAACCCCCCCCCAAACCTGCCTATTTTAAATGGGTTCTGCCATCCACCGCATCAACACAAAAACATATGAGACTTTAATGGGAAGGAACTTTAATACAATTAGGAAACAACACAGAAAGGGCAGAATATAGTTTCTAAATGAAGTGTTACCCGTCCCCTCGTGGGTAAAACTCAATCCAAATGGGATTGGCCCAGAGCAAGGCCCCAAAGCCTGCCACAAGTCCAAAGCATCTTCCAGTGGGGACCCACAGAAAAGGGTTTCTTGTCAGAAACAACCAGACATGCCCAGAAGGAAAAGAGCAAAATCAAAATCAAGATAAAAGCTGCCATTGTCAACTCCCCCTGGGTCTCACCCACATCTGTGTCACCCAGTCCATGACCAAAAGGCAAATGCAGTGTCTTCATGTGTCTACAGGCTTCATGTGCCTCCTCCAGATCTCCTTCTGGCTCCATCCTGCTTCCTTCCTTCCTCAGTCTCCTCTGCAGCCTCTTCTCTACCTGCTCAGCTCCACTCTTCATTTAGGTGGGGCAGGGAACCTAGAACCATCCCCTTTCCTGGGGACCACCCTGTTACAATCAGACAGTGCATTTGTGGCTGACAATCTATGTTCATGTTGGAGATGCCCAGCATGTGAGGCTGTCAGGCAAGGGGCGCCCCCCCTCCCAAATTTGCCTCTTTTCCCTAGTGATAAAGTTGGCTTTGCCAAAGGACCTCAGACTGGGCACTGGGCTAAGAGTTTAATTTTCACAGTGGAAGGCTGGAAGCCCAAGACTAAGGCACCACCACTTGGGCTCTGGCCGAGGATCTCGTCCTGTGTGCACACACTTGGCATCTTGCTGTGTCCTCACTTGGACAGCAGAGAGAGGGTGACCAGCTCTCCAGGGTCCCTTCTGAGACTGGGTCCTATTCCGTGAGGGCTCTACCCTCGAGGCCTACTCACCTCTCTGGGGTGGGGACTTCTGACCCACCTGGAGGTCAGGACACTAGTTGGAACCTTGGGGACCCAAACACACAGTCCAGGGGCGTAAATTATCCATGGTGGGCAGATTCTCAAGAAATGGGTCGTGTGAGTCCTCTGCACTGCACCTACCCCCTCTCACTGCACCCGGCACCCCTGTGCCCCTACACTGTCCAACAGGCAGCAGGGGGTGATTTGAGAGACTCTAGATAAGAGGGTTGTGGGGTGAAATTGCTGGAAAGAGCAAAGCCTCAGTGTCAGGGGAGCCTCCTTGGTCTGGTGACTGCCGCCTGAGGCTTCCTCCATGGGCTGCCAGGGCAGTGCCAGGCTTTAAGTCTCCTTGGGACAGAGCAATTGTTTTTCCTGGGGGCAGCATGGGGGTGGCAAATGAAAACCCTCTGTGACCTGATCAGGGCGAGTCCGGGTCCCCAAGCATGCCAAAGGGCCAGTGAGGAGCGGGAGATAACTGGTCTTCCCCCACAGGATGGCCCCCAGACCCCTGTGCTGGCAAGTGGAGGGAACATTTGGGGAGGGCTCACCTTCTCACTTTGCTTGTTGTTGCGCCCAGCATCCTCCTAGCATGGGAGACCTTCACCCTGAGATCAAGGGTAAATCTACCCCTGAGACACCACATCTTAGACCAGCCAGCACTGTCAGCACATGTCCTGGCCTCACAGGACTCTCACATGTCTGCAGGTGACCCCACTATTGCCATAGACTTTTCTCTTGGCTCAGCAGAAGTGGTCTCTGGACCAAATGCTGTCCTCGCGCCCGGAGATCCCCGCTGGGCGGGCCCAGGCCTGGCACTGGGAGGAGCTCAGTATCACCATTTCTCTCAGAAGATGATTCTCTTGTGTGGTAGGACTTGCCCAGCCTAGGAACAAAGCTTCAGGAGTACATTTTGCCACCCAAAGCTGGTGGGCAGGGAATGGTGGGCAGGAATCAGGGACGGGAAGCGAGGTAAAGAGAGATCCCAGGAAGGCCAGGCATCAGGAATGAGATGCCCATCAGCCAATGAGCCACAGGTCACCCTTCCCTGCCCGGCTAGACCTGCTTTCTAACCTCTCAGTTAAGGAACCGCTCAGATTTTAACATAAGATTCCCTAATTCCTGTCAGAATATTTCTCAGGGGATGAAGATGGGTGGGGCGGAAAGAGCACTTGGATTGTCACCTGTGGCCTTGGTTAAGGGGATTGGAGACCAGCTCTCATGCTGGTGAAATGTTTTTGTCCATTGATAGGAGGATGGGTCCCTAGATGGCTTGATGGCCAATCTGGGGCTCCCCTGCCTTGCCCCCCACCTCATCTGCTCTTATGGGTGGCATGTTCCAGAAGAGCCTCCATCTGCACTAAGCCTGGGACGTGTGTGCACTCCTGCCCTGGAAGCCCCAGGGGCCCAGGAGTTTTGTGGAGACACAGGGGTGTGCAGACTTGTGCTTGGAGGTGTGTGTGTCTCTGGGTCCCCTGGCGCTTGGCTCCCTGTATAGGGTATCTTGTGGCTTGGTGTTATCTGGCTTCAGACACCCTGGCCAGAGACTGACCACCAGGCCTCTGGCCAGTTAAGCCATCTGATTTTTGAGAAATAATTGTACACTGCACACTGCCACTGCTGTTCAGGTCGCACTGGTGGGGGTGGGCTTTCTGAATACTGTCACTGCAGAGCCCCTCCTGGGGCACTGTCCTGTTCATAGCCACCCCTTTGGTGTGGCTTCTCCCTCCCTCTCCCAACCTCTCACCTTAGGTGGAAA